GGTGTGTGGTCGTGTGGGCGTGTGTGGGCGTGTGGGCGTGTGGTCATGTGGGCATGTGTGTGGTCATGTGGGCGTGTGGTCGTGTGGTCATGTGGACGTGTGGGTGTGTGGGTGTGTGGGTTGTGGGGGTGTGTGGGCATGTGGCGTGTGGTCATGTGGGGTGTGGGTGTGTGGGTGTGTGGGGTGTGTGGGTGTGTGTGGACGTGTGGGCATGTGGGCGTGTGGGCGTGTGGTCATGTGGGCGTGTGGGTCGTGTGGTCATGTGGTCATGTGTGGTGTGTGGTGTGTGTGTGGGTGTGTGGGCATGTGGGTGTGTGGTCATGTGGTGTGTGGTCATGTGGGTGTGGGTGTGTGGTCGTGTGGGTGTGTGGGTGTGTGGGCATGTGGGCGTGTGGGCGTGTGGGTGGCGTGTGGGGCGTGTGGTCATGTGGGCGTGTGTGGTCATGTGGTGTGGTGTGTGGGCGTGTGGGTGTGGACGTGTGGTCATGTGGGCGTGTGGGTGTGTGGGTGTGTGGGTCATGTGGGTGTGTGGGCGTGTGGGTGTGTGGTCATGTGGGCGTGTGGGCATGTGGTGTGGGGCGTGTGGTCATGTGGGCGTGTGGTCATGTGGGCATGTGTGTGGGTGTGGCATGTGGGCGTGTGGTCATGTGGGCGTGTGGTCATGTGGGCGTGTGGGCGTGTGGGCGTGTGGGCATGTGGGCGTGTTGTCATGTGGTCATGTGGGCGTGTGGTCATGTGGGTGTGTGGTCATGTGTGGTGTGGGTGTGGGGTGTGTGTGGGCATGTGGCATGTGGGTGTGTGGTCATGTGGGNGACTAAAACCAGATGTCAGGGAATTTACCCTAAGACATCAAAATACATTAAATAAAGACACACCAAAACGAGACAGTTAAAAGTGATCACTTGTGCAAGGACAGAGCCGTCAGTACCACTGGCTGAGCGTCTCTACTCTGCAGCTCTCCTCCCAACAGCAGTATTTATTTCAGTCATTTCACAGATACAGTACAGTACATTATGTTATATCACACAACGTTTACATGATCACATACTAACAATCTTTAGGCTAAACCACCTCCCATTTCACACTTGATCACAGGCTCCAGGTGATAAACAATTTGGTCAGTTTTCTCCCAAAAACTTATGCAAACCACATGAGGGAAAAACCCTCAGTCGTCTTCTCATGGGCGACTCAGCAGATGAGTTTAAAGAGTCAGAAGTTCTTGAACTAGGACATATGACAAACATATGGAAAAAACTCAAAAAGCAATTGTTGATAACTTTAATCACACACACAAAAGATAAAGGAATTTAAATGAACACACAAATGCTGACTGAACCAGGACTAAACTAGGACTAAAACTGGACTAAACCAGGACTAAAACCAGGACTAAACTAGGACTAAACCAGGACTAAAACCAGGACTAGGTCTGGAAAACCAGGACTAAACCTAGGACTAAACTAAAACCAGGACTAGACTAGGTATAAGACCAGGACTAGACTGGTATTAGACCAGGACTAGACTGCGGGGGGCGCTGTGTTCGGGGCCAGCGGGGGGCGGGGCCAGGCGGGGGGCGGGGCCAGCGGGGGGCGCTGTGGCGCTGTGTTCTGCACGAGGATGTGGGAACATTATCAGTGGAAGATCCTGAAACAGACTCTGTGACCTGAGTTCATCTGTTATGTGCAGTTTGGACGGTGGAACTTTCTGGTGCAGAGTCGCTGTCTCCTGTTTGTTTCTATGGAGACGTCGCTGCTCTGTCTGGAATGTTCCAGAGTGTGACTTTAAACAGTTGGACTTTACATTTATTCAGTTTAGGAGGATTTAGAGTCAGAAATATCTAAAAAAACAAACAGACACAGTGACTGTGAGCGGAGTCGCCTCTCCACAGATCTGACCTGTCACCTGTGACCTGGTCTGGTTTGGTCTCCATGGAGATAAAAAGGTTTAATGCTGCACTGTGGGACATCTTGAACACAGCCTCATGTTTATGTTCGAGCTCCAGTTTCATTTTGTTTTCGTTCAGTTTTTTCTTTTTTTCACTTTATTTTTCTGTTTGTTTCGGTGCAGAGTTTCTAAAGATGATGGAGAACGTCCAGTAACATCTCCAGCCACATTCCTGAGACCAGAACAAAGAACTGGAGGAAGAACCTGCAGCAGCTACGGCGACGCCACAACTCGAGAACGTCACACCTCGAGAACGTCACACCTCGAGAACGTCACACCTCGAGAACATCACACCTCGAGAACATCACAACTCGAGAACGTCACACCTCGAGAACGTCACACCTCGAGAACGTCACACCTCGAGAACGTCACACCTCAAGAAGACTAAACCGAATAAATCCTCCTAAACTCTCATGACAGTCGTATGTTTAACCTCCTCTCCTCCTCTACCCTCTCCTCTGCTCCTTAACTCCTCCTCTTCCTCCTCTTCCTCCTCTTCCTCCTCTTCTCCTCTGGGGGGGCAGAGACGGAGCTAAAAATATCAGCAGATCCCTTTTAAGACCAAGGCGTGTTTCCAGCTGCCTGCGCTCAGCTGTTGGAGAAATCTTACACCGACTGCTCTGCTCCTCCTCCTCCCCCTCCCTCGTTCCTCTCCTTCTCCTCTTCCTCTCCTTCTCCTCTTCCTCTCCTTCTCCTCTCCTCTCCTTCTCCTCTTCCTCTCCTTCTCCTCTTCCTCTCCTTCTCCTCTTCCTCTCCTTCTCCTCTTTCTCTCCTTCTCCTCTTTCTCTCCTCACAGCTCAAGTTCTTACAAATAAACCTTAATAATAACTATGATTTTTTCTGATGTTTCTTCTTTCCGTTCGCTCTTCGCCGTTTCTCTCGGACAAATATTCGTCTGAAACGTCGTCTGTGTCGGCTGCTCCCGTCGCCCCGAGCCGTCGTGCGTGGGGCGAGCGTGGGCGTGTGTGGGGCATGTTCCCGTGGAGCTGGGGGGTATATAACCTCCCGCCCCGACGCGTCTGCCCCCGCCCCCCTCATCCAGGCTCCTCCCTCCAGGAACTGCCCTCCTTATAAGGCACAGCAGAAGCCGTCGCCGCCGCCGCCGCCTCCACGTGTGCCCCCTGCAAAAAAAAAAAACTGCCCCCGCAAAACTGCTGCTATTCAGGGCGCAAGGGGGCGGGGGGGGGCAGCCTCTGATATAAAACTCGCTCAAGTTTCAAGTTTAGTGTGAAATGTTCTTAGCAGAATTCTTTGACTTCACTGCAGAAAAGTTTGGGCAAAATGTAAAATCTGAACAATTAAATCTCTCAGAAAATGATTTCAAAGTGTTAAAACGACGCGTCCGAGCTGCAAGATCATTTTACCGGACAGGTTCTCTTAAAATAAACTCCCCGGCGACGAGAATGAAGCGTCTGCGCTCGGTGTTCATGTTCTGGAAATAAGTTTACGGAGGCAAAGTTTGAGATAAACAAACTTAAAAAAAAAAAAAAAAAAAAAACAGTTTAGGATCAGAGTTCATGACCTGAGACGCTGAATTGTAGATATTAGAACTTGAAATCAGTCTGACGTGAGACAAATTCATCCATTCATATGAATCATGAACCTGTTTGAAGTAAATTTGAGATTTTCTGACAAGTTCGAGTCTTGGAAGAAAAAGAAATGTGACGATTTTTAAGACGATGCAAACGATTCAGAACGAGTGAGTACAAGATGAATCAGCTGATAGAAGCTTGAGAATCTTGGAGAAATTTGCCCCACACACACACACACACACACACACACACACACACACACACACACACACACCCCTCCTCTCTGCGGGGGGGGGGGACGACAACGTGAGAAAAATAAAAAAGAATCTACGCAATTCTATGTAAAATGCGTAACCTACATTCGGGTGTGTGTCTGGGGGGGAGCGTGGGGGGGTGGGGTGGGGGGTGAGGAGGAGGGTGAGGGTCAGGGGTGGGTGGGGGGGACACGGGGGGAGGGGAGGGAGGGGGGGGACACGGGGGGACACGGCTACATAAACGATCCGGTTTTTAAAATGTTCGCCACAAAATAAAATCATCACCTGCTTTAAATTTCGGACAGCTCTTCTTTCTCTTGTTTTTTTTTTTCTTTCTCACCCCCCTCACCCAAACCGGGACAGTTTGGGTGAGGGGGGGCACATGGGTGAGACACGGGGGGGGGGGGGGGTGACAGGGGGGAGACACGTGAAATAAAATGATCTGTTCTCAACAAAACACAGAACCTACTTTACGTTTCTGCCCGTCGTCTTTTTCTCTCAGGCTCCGGGGACTGTGAGGGGTGAGGTGGGGGGGTTTCTGTGGGGTGGGGGGTCGGGGGGAAGGGGAGGAAGGGGGGAGGAAGGGGGGAGACGGGCTTCAGCTCTGAAATAAGCCCTGGCGGTTTAGTGTTTCACATCGGGTTTGAAATGTCCTCATCACAAAATGCGTCACCTACTTTGAAAAATGCAACTCTCCCTCTCTCCTCTTTTCTCCTCTTTTCTCCTCTTTTCTCCTCTTTTCTCCTCTTTTCTCCTCTTTTCTCTCGTCCATCCTTTTTCCTCACGTCCCCACTGCGTCAGAAGACAGATCTGCATTTGAGGAGGACTTCTGGATCATTGTCGATGCACAGAGAAGCACATTTAGGATGAGTTTGAGGTTAAAAAGTCATATTTGGACCTGGGCCGCACTGATTAAATCTTAAATCATTAAACCTAGTTCTAGTTAAAGACAAATATTTATGAGGAACTGTTGGATAAAACAATGAGAACAATGGCATTTCAAAACCTCCACTTGACTTCGAGCTGCTATCTTAGCTACTCCTGCTATTGTAAACAAGCCGAGGTCCAGAACATCTCATCTTCTCTCGTCTCCACAGGCTCCGGAGACAGAAAAGTGTTGGTGCATTTTCATTTATTTGACGTTTCAACCCAAAATCTGGTGTGTGATTGGCCTGTGCCCTGGACCCTAAAAGTTCAGGGTTCTAAATCTGTAGGGGGCGGGGCCTGTGAGAGCGTGGGGGCGGGGCCGGAGCGCGCCGTTTAAAGCGTCAGAGGAGCGTCTCCGTGCGTCTAGTCTCTCTGTTCGGGTGCACGCGGATTGACCACTCCTTTGGGCTTTTTTCCTGGATTTTAGGAGGAAAGCTAAACCACAAACATGGTAAGACTCACGGTTTGTTTAAAAGAGCGGATTTATATTACCCAAAAATGGCACACTTTGGTTTTACGCACGATGGCACACTTTTACGCACAAACTCTAGAGGAAAAGCTAAAACACAAAGTACGATTAGACTGTTTAAATTGGGATAATGATGAGTGATGTACATAAACTTTTAATCATTATTATCAGTATTACTGTTATTACATGATGCTGTAAGATGTTTGGCAAAATGACGCCACCGTTTTACGCACGGTGGCACACTTTTACGCACAAGATCTAGAGGCAAACCAAGCCACGAAGAACACGTTTTGTGTAAAAGAGATGAAATATACGACTCAAAACTAATGATTATAAAGAAAGATGAGCTTTTTACGCACGGTGGCACACTTTTACGCACGAACCTCAATGACAGTTTGTGCCACTGTTACCAAATGCCATTTTCAATTAAGTGTCCAATTGGCCTCCCGGGGGTAATTACCTGCGCCACATCAGAACACGGGTTTCCCAGAGCCTCGTGCTTTGGCTGAACGCTCTTCCTTAATTGTCCCGCGCGGCTCCGGGGCCTTGGCGCGCGGACAGCTGCTCGGTGCGCGTTCTGCTTCGGTGACAGATTCCCGCGGGTTGGGTGTCCTTTGCCCAAATACAGCGCGTCTAAAGTGTGAGCCTGAAATAGCCGCTCCAATTTTCACCCGCGAGGCTCCGGCACAAACGCGCGCGAGGAGATCAAATATGCCAACAGGGCTCAGTGCGCATGCGCCACACCCACACTTACGCACCGCACTTTGTTTATGAGATTATCCCGAGTGTTTTTCCTGGTGACATTAACACAAGTGACTTTCACAAACCACACACACGAAAAATGGAGAAAAATACACAAATTAGATCCGTGCAAAAACTTTACAAACTCATACTCTCATGTATAAAGTACTTTTGAGTACTGTAGTGTAGTACTATACTGTGTAGTACTTTAATGTGTGAAAAATACATCAAACTAAACGTGTTTGTTTCCCTCAGACTGACGCGCAACAAGAGGCCCGCTCCTACCTGAGCGAGGAGATGTTGGCTGGTGAGTGGAACCTGCAGTGACACAAAAACTGACACCAGGGGGCGCGCAGAGACCGACACTCGTGTCCAGAGCAGCGCGCGCTGCAACAAACAGTGTCCAGATCAATTAAAATGATTTAAATTAAGAATATTTCACTTTATTTGAGTCAGTTCAGCCTGAAAAGATAAATGATCTGACTGTAGAATAAGTATTTTTCTTCATTCAAGCAATATTTGATTTTATTTCTTAATTTAAATCCAAATAGTTGTTTTTCTTAAGTTTAGTGCAGCAGATGCATTTTCATATTTTAAGTACAAAAAGTCTTGTTACATTGGCAGATCATTTTATTTGTCAGGTGAAATTTACTCAAGTCATGATCAAACTTTCTTAATTCAAGTCTTCTGAACTTGAATAGATTTAGTTTTTTGTGGAGCAGAGGAAATAAAACACGAGCTGAATAAGACGAGCAACAAAACTCCCTGAAGAAAATGTGTTAATGTCGTTTTTTACGCACGACAGACTCAGAGCTCAGACTGTGTATAAATATATTTATTTTAATAGATTCTTTTTCAGACCAAGGTTTACATTGTTTTCAAAACTCACGTGCATCTAAAGCTGTAAAAGAACGTGTTAAAATAAAATGATGCAAGAGCAAATGAACCACACTGGGCTGTAAGTTAAAGACAGTGTAAGACCCAGAGGTGGGACAGAGACAGAGACAGAGACAGAGACAGAGACAGAGACAGAGACAGAGGACAGAGACAGAGACAGAGACAGAGACAGAGACAGAGACAGAGACAGAGACAGAGACAGAGACAGAGACAGAGACAGAGACAGACAGAGACAGAGACAGAGACAGAGACAGAGACAGAGACAGAGAGACAGAGACAGAGACAGAGACAGAGACAGAGACAGACAGAGACAGAGGACAGAGACAGAGGACAGAGGACAGAGACAGAGACAGACAGAGACAGAGACAGAGACAGAGACAGAGACAGAGACAGAGACAGACAGACAGAGACAGACAGAGACAGAGACAGAGAGACAGAGACAGAGACAGAGACAGAGACAGAGACAGAGACAGAGACAGAGACAGAGACAGAGACAGAGACAGAGACAGAGACAGAGACAGAGACAGAGACAGAGACAGAGACAGAGGACAGAGACAGAGACAGAGACAGAGGACAGAGACAGAGACAGAGACAGAGACAGAGACAGAGACAGAGACAGAGACAGAGACAGAGACAGAGACAGAGACAGAGACAGAGACAGAGACAGAGGACAGAGACAGAGACAGAGACAGAGACAGAGACAGAGACAGAGACAGAGACAGAGACAGAGACAGAGACAGAGACAGAGACAGAGACAGAGACAGAGACAGACAGAGACAGAGACAGAGACAGAGACAGAGACAGAGACAGGGACAGAGACAGAGAGACAGAGACAGAGACAGACAGAGACAGAGACAGAGACAGAGACAGAGACAGAGACAGACAGAGACAGACAGAGACAGAGAGACAGAGACAGAGGACAGAGAGACAGAGACAGAGACAGAGACAGAGACAGAGGACAGAGACAGAGACAGAGGACAGAGGACAGAGACAGAGACAGAGGACAGAGACAGAGACAGAGACAGAGACAGAGACAGAGACAGAGACAGAGACAGAGACAGAGGACAGAGACAGAGACAGAGACAGAGGACAGAGGACAGAGAGACAGAGACAGACAGAGACAGAGACAGAGACAGAGACAGAGACAGAGACAGAGACAGAGACAGAGGACAGAGACAGAGGACAGAGACAGAGACAGAGACAGAGACAGAGGACAGAGACAGAGACAGAGGACAGAGACAGAGACAGAGACAGAGACAGAGGACAGAGACAGACAGAGACAGAGACAGACAGAGACAGAGACAGAGACAGAGGACAGAGACAGAGGACAGAGACAGAGGACAGAGCTCAGAAGTTCCAGTTTTCACAACAGGCGCAGTGTTTTATTTAAATATCATATTTTTAAACATGTTGTGTGACTTTGTGGGTGAGTTTTTCTCACTTGTTTCTCCGCTCGCGCAGAGTTCAAAGCCGCCTTCGACATGTTTGACACCGACGGTGGCGGTGACATCAGCACCAAGGAGCTGGGCACCGTGATGAGGATGTTGGGTCAGAACCCGACCCGAGAGGAGCTGGATGAGATCATCGAGGAGGTCGACGAGGACGGTGAGGAAATAAAATGAACAAACAAATAAAAACTACACAACACCGAGCCGAACTGTGACCTGAGATTCAGTTTAAACACCAAAAACATGGAACAGTCCGGGCCACGGCGCAGAGTCACGTGACTGAAGAGGAGATCTTGTCCTTCATTGTATAAGATCACAGATGACCTTATTTACTGTCATTTACACCATTAAAATTAGCAACCACAATCCTGTTCAAGTCTGTGTGTGCGCTCTGTGCCATTTACCTCCGTGCGTAATTACGCGCGGTCCGGAGGCCGGTGTTTGTGTTGGTTCCGCTGTGTGAAACAGAACCAGGCCTGACTCTCGTGTTCTTCTCGTGTTCTTCCCGTAGGCAGCGGCACCATTGACTTCGAGGAGTTCTTGGTGATGATGGTGAGGCTGCTCAAGGAGGACCAGGCCGGAAAGAGCGAGGAAGAGTTGGCCGAGTGCTTCCGCGTCTTCGACAAGTGCGTAAACGTCCCGCGCACAAACAAATCTGAGGAAGTCTGGGGACGGGACCTGGGGACGGGACGTGGGGGCAGGACTTGGGCTTGTTGGGTCAATAGAGCATCAATAGTCACCTGGATCTCATCCAGACTTTACCTGGGCTCTAGATGTGTGTAAAAGTCGTCTGGGTAGAATCCATGGCAGAGGAGGAATTCTATTTACATTCCATGTTTGTCTCTTACATTTTCTTGTCTTTTAATATGATTTGTCCCTTTAATAAATAAATACAAATACAAATTCAGATTGGATGAGCTGCGAAACGTATTTGGCCTAAACTTTTGTCCAGAATTTCTCCTTTGCCTTTTCCTGGGCTCAGTCTGTCCTCAGGTCGACCTGTTTCTACTCGAGTATCTGTGTCTCTCAGATGACTCTGTCCTGACACCAGCTCCTCCTGATGAACAGTTTTAGTTTGGTGTGGGAACTTTGAGGTGGGACTGTTCACTTTTTATATTTCCTGACTCCAGAGCAGGATTCTGGAAGGGCATCTGACTCTTTTGGCCTTAGTCTCTGTTGTCTCATATTCAACACTTAACGAAGAACGAGGTCTGATTGTTTTGTGGAACAGAGGAAAGTTCAGGAGCAGTTTTAGTTCTCACCAGCTGTAATCAGTCAGTTCTCGTTCCTCGTTCCTCTCGTCCGTTGCTGATGTTTTGGTGTTTTGATGTTTTGGTGTTTGGTTTTTTTCAGGAACGCTGACGGTTACATCGACAGAGAGGAGTTTGCTCTGATCATCCGCAGCACCGGAGAGAGCATCACAGAAGACGAGATCGACGAGCTGATGAAGGACGGAGACAAAAACTCAGACGGCATGCTCGACTTTGACGGTAAATACAAGAACCTGGACCGGTTCTGGTCCACACTTAGACCTGGGGTAGACCTGGTTTGCTCCTGGTTTAACCCTGGTCCTCTCCTCGTTTAGTTTAGACCTGGTTTAGTCCTGGGTTAGATCTTGTTTAGACCTGGTTTAGTGCCTACATACACAGAATTCTTAACTTTGACGATAATTACAAGCACCTGGATCTAGTCTAGTCCTGGTCTAGTCCTGGTCCAGTCCTGGTCCAGTCCTGGTCCAGTCCTGGTCCAGTCCTGGTCCAGTCCTGGTCCAGTCCTGGTTCACATCGGGTTAAGTCCTTTTACCTGATTTTCCTGGTGTAGTGACCACAGCCTGGACACGTCTCTGGACTGTAGCTCGAGTTTTTCCTCTGAAGCTGCGACACAAGATCCTGGGATTTTTATTTCAACATTTTTCATTTACACAGAAAAAACTGGAGAGTTAAAATTTCAGTGTGAAATATTTCAGAGTTGTTTAAACATAAAAAGTGTTTTATTTTTACTCTTTGAGAGTTAAATGTGAGTTGGAGTTGGGTTTTTGTCAGAGTTGATTTGGTTGAAGTTAATTCAACTTCTCTTAGTGTTAATTTGTCTCCAACACTTCAAACTCCCACCAGAGAAGAACCAGTTTGAACCAGTTTTGTTCTGAATTTGATCTTAAATTAACTCAAATAAAGTGTGAAAATAAAACTCCTCTGTGTGTTGTTGAGTTAAATCAGGATAACTCTACAAAGTGTTATCTGTTTACTCTCTAAACCTTCATTTAACTCTGGATTTGGGTTAAACAGGAACTTTGGTCCAGTTTTACTTCATGAACTTTTACACAAGTGTTAAATTAACTCTAGAACAGAGTGACTCAGACAAACTCTGAGGAAATGTTCAAACTGACTCTGTTAATTCTGAGTTAATTTGAACACAACACTTCTTACTGTGGACAATCTGACTCCAAATTCTCTCCTGAGCGCCGGCCTCAATGAGCTTCATTTGACTAGAGCTGAACTCTGTGGTGTCAGAACACGAGTGTTAACGACAAAAAAACTCTGTTTATCCAACCAGGATATCGACAGAACCGATATTTGACGATTTCCGATACCAAAAGTGTGTCGTGTGTGTGTCATGTGTGTGTGTGTGTCGTGTGTGTGTGTGTGTGTGTGTGTCGTGTGTGTGTGTCGTGTGTGTCATGTGTGTGTCGTGTGTGTCGTGTGTGTGTGTCGTGTGTGTGTCGTGTGTGTGTCGTGTGTGTGTCGAGTGTGTGTCGTGTGTGTCGTGTGTGTCGTGTGTGTCGTGTGTGTCGTGTGTGTCGTGTGTGTGTCGTGTGTGTGTGTGTGTCGTGTGTGTGTGTGTGTGTGTGTGTCGTGTGTGTGTGTCGTGTGTGTCGTGTGTGTGTCGTGTGTGTGTCGTGTGTGTGTCGTGTGTGTGTGTGTGTGTGTGTCGTGTGTGTGTGTGTGTGTGTGTCGTGTGTGTCGTGTGTGTCGTGTGTGTGTGTTCGTGTGTGTGTCGTGTGTGTGTCGTGTGTGTGTCGTGTGTGTCGTGTGTGTGTCGTGTGTGTCGTGTGTGTGTCGTGTGTGTGTGTCGTGTGTGTGTGTGTGTGTGTGTGTCGTGTGTGTCGTGTGTGTGTGTGCGTGTGTGTCGTGTGTGTGTCGTGTGTGTGTGTGTGTCGTGTGTGTGTCGTGTGTGTGTCGTGTGTGTGTGTGTGTCGTGTGTGTGTCGTGTGTGTGTGTCGTGTGTGTGTCGTGTGTGTCGTGTGTGTGTCGTGTGTGTGTCGTGTGTGTGTGTGTCGTGTGTGTGTCGTGTGTGTCGTGTGTGTGTCGTGTGTGTCGTGTGTGTGTCGTGTGTGTCGTCGTGTGTGTGTCGTGTGTGTGTGTGTGTGTCGTGTGTGTGTCGTGTGTGTGTCGTGTGTGTGTGTGTGTGTCGTGTGTGTGTGTGTGTGTGTCGTGTGTGTGTGTGTGTGTCGTGTGTGTGTGTGTGTGTGTGTGTGTGTCGTGTGTGTGTGTGTGTGTCGTGTGTGTCGTGTATGTGTGTGTCGTGTGTGTGTCATGTGTGTGTGTCGTGTGTGTGTCGTGTGTGTGTCGTGTGTGTGTCGTGTGTGTCGTGTGTGTGTCGTGTGTGTCGTGTGTGTGTCGTGTGTGTGTGTGTGTGTGTGTCGTGTGTGTCGTGTGTGTGTGTGTGTGTCGTGTGTGTGTCGTGTGTGTGTCGTGTGTGTGTCGTGTGTGTGTCGTGTGTGTGTCGTGTGTGTGTCGTGTGTGTGTCATGTGTGTGTCGTGTGTGTGTGTGTGTCGTGTGTGTGTCGTGTGTGTGTCGTGTGTGTGTCGTGTGTGTGTCGTGTGTGTGTCGTGTGTGTCGTGTGTGTCGTGTGTGTGTGTGTGTGTGTCGTGTGTGTCATGTGTGTGTCGTGTGTGTGTCATGTGTGTGTCGTGTGTGTGTCGTGTGTGTGTCATGTGTGTGTCGTGTGTGTGTCGTGTGTGTGTCATGTGTGTGTCGTGTGTGTTGTGTGTCGTGTGTCGTGTGTGTGTCATGTGTGTGTCGTGTGTGTGTCGAGTGTGTGTGTGTGTGTCGTGTGTGTGTCATGTGTGTGTGTCGTGTGTGTGTCGTGTGTGTGTCGTGTGTGTGTCGTGTGTGTGTCGTGTGTGTCGTGTGTGTGTGTGTCGTGTGTATAAAGTGTGACTCCCGTTGATCTGTGGCTCATATTTTTCTTCTTTTTTTCCTCAGAATTCCTCAAGATGATGGAGAATGTGCAATAAACGCCGACGTCTCTTGGACATTCCTCCTTCTGTCCCTCCGCCCCGTCCGTCCGTCCATCCTCTCATCCTCTCATCCTCT